TAAAAGAGCACAGACAACAAAGGATCCGCTTCTAATCTACATTATAGAACTATGAAAAAAATACAGTTACACAAAAGTGTTCCACTGTAAAGATGGTGTAGTTTGTTTTGTTGCAACCTGAAGTGTGAAATAAACTTCAGTTGAGTTTTAAAACAAAATATGTGTATAGATTTATTATATGTGGTTGAACGATGTGTGTGCCCAGTTTTATTTATTTATTTATATTTTTTTTTTGGTGTCTTGGGGGGGGGGCGTGGAAATTTTATTGTAATCCAAAGGGGGGCCCAGAAGCAAATCTTTGGGAACCACTGTTCTAGACAAATGAATTAATATTATATCAACTTATTTCATGGTAGATTCACATATTTAATGAGACGTTAACATATTTAATGGCCCTCAATGCACCTCATGGATCACAATTATAATAATTGGAAAAACCATGTTGGGACCCATTTCTCCCAGTACGGGGTTCCAACCCACACTTTGGATAAATAACCAACCTTTTAATAGAATTAAACACTAAAGTGATTCTGAATCGATTGACGATCTTCCCTCTGTGCGTCTAACTCACCTGTCTTTGCAGTCGGCTCTGGCTCTCCTCCAGCTCAGAAACGCGAGCCGTGCTCTCGGTCAGCATGGTCTGCTGCTGTTGCAGAGACAGCTGCAGCTGCAGGTTCTGCTCCGTGGAGCTCTGACAAACCAGGCTGGTGCTCTGAAGCTTCTGCTGCAGAGACGACAACTGAAACACAAGCAAGGAGGGAAGACTGTTAGCTTTAACGGAACCTCAACGAGCGAACCGAGATCTCTTTACAGTCATGCACCTTTTCGTTCTTCCTCTGCAGCTCGGCCTCATACTTCTTCTTCACCTCCTCCATCTGCTGCAGGTAGATGTTCAGCTCTTCTCTGCACGCCGACAGGCATGACTGCAGCTCTGATATCTGATGGAGACACGCAGCATCTTTGTAGCCATAAAATGTTCTCTTTGTAAATAAAAAATGAAAAACGAGAAGCGCATTGAATTAATTCACAGGATTCTCAGCACCTTTTTCGACTCTTATCTCTCTTGGAATCAAACATTTTTTCATCAAACAGGATCTTGGACTTTTTAGCTGGAAGGTGCTAACCTGCCTA